CATACACATTTCCATACAGAGCTGATCTGACTCAGTTCCAAACTGAATATTTCATTCCTGAATGAATCCAAGGCCTTTCTCTTTTCTATTTAGTAAACTGCTAGGAGTTTTTTCAAATTTATTATTTTTCACATTTTTTTTACCAGGATTAACAATTGACTCTATTTTTCATACCTTTTGTTCATGTAGAAACAGTTTTTATCACTGAATAGGTTATTGAATATCTTCTGGCTACTATACAGATATGGTGAGTAGTAAGTCTCTATATAAAAATTATTGATTTCTGCATATTATTCTGGTACGGTGAAATTCAAAACTATGCTTCAACAAATGAAATGTGTCAGGTTCTTCAGACATGCTAAAAATTCAAATGTTAAATTTTCCAATGTAAAACATCTTCTCTAAATATACTTTATCTAAATGTAATAATTTTCTTTACAAACAGGTGAAATAAGAAATACTATCTTTATTATTACCTGGAGATTCAACCATTGAATCAATGGGAAAAGCTGTATTTATAGAAAAAAATTAGAAATTGTTTATTACATTTACTATCAAATCCACTAATGGGATAATCATGGAGTTAAACAAAATAATATTCCATATGCCAACCTATTTATCTCCTGACGAATCTCTACTCACTCTCTAACCTTCTCTGTGTGCAGACTTGTTTTTTGTGCAAAATAAGAGGTCCAATTACCTCTTATTTTGTTATATCTTTGCTCCGACAGGAGGTGGTACCCTGATTCAACCACTGGGCTGTTTGGAGCCACATTCCCTTTAACGCTATTGCTTTAAGCACAACACAAAAGGCAGTTTTAACTAATCTCATTATTTGCAGGAAAAAATCATCTATGTGGGTTACATTGACATCACTAAGAAATGTGAACCTCCTTCTTTCATAAATGTGGATAAATAAGTGCCAAAGTGTTTCCCATTATGGTTTACAGGATGCAGGTTTCAATATACTAGTCATCATCATAATAGTATTAATTATATTTATACCTTAGTAGTGGATGTTAAGTAAGATGTCATGCATAAATCAAATCTTAATAATTAGTTTTTTCCCTTAGTTTTTGATTTGAGAATAGATTTATTATCTTATTTATGTTTAATTGTCAATAGCTCTTTGCTGTTTAGGGGTTCTCCACCACCATGTATACTGCCAGCCTACCAAGCTAAAGTATTAATGATTTGCCAAATATTGTTGTGCTTACAACCAATCAAAAACTTCTTAAAATTATGTCTTACCCTCAGAAAAGAAAAACCCTGTTTTATAAATGTAGCATTTTTTTTCAGTTACTTTAATAAACAAGACACAGGAGCACATGTGTGTTCAAAGGCAGAGTCCCTCACCCCTAATAGTAAAAAGAGATACTATCCAATATTTAGTCAACAAATTAGGAAATAATTAAGCATTAATAAAAATGGCTGGTTTTTAAAATAACTTCTAATGTATGTATTACTATGCTAATTTCCCAAATAAGATAAGAGGCTTAAGATAACCCCAAGTGACTCAATCATAGCATACCAGAAGCTGAAATCTGGGTATATTTTGATGCAAAGCTTATAGTTCTTTATTCATGTTTAGTCGATTACATACTTTGTATCATTTTTGAAGCCAAAAGAAAATCTATCTTGCTGAGGCTCCTGTGTCATTTGTGAAAGTTTCCAAAAACACAACTCCATCCTCCTTTTTCTGTCCCTGCTGCTCATCACAAAATGAATGAGGGTTTTGCCAAACAGATTGTGTTGCTGGCAGGACTAAAAGCATGAACAGTTCTTTGCCTTGAAAAAGATCACTGATTCTTATGAATTAAATGCATTTTGATATGTTCTCCTTACCCATCATCTCAGTGCCTTACAGCCATTACATCTTTTTTTTCTTGTTACAGTTAGAGCAGAGATGGACCAGTCCTTCATGTCAAATACTGAAATGAGTCAGTGTTGACTGATCCAGTTCATCCACATTCCAGGCAGGGATCCCCAAACCTACTACTATTAATCTGAAAGTGTTTTTTCAAATAAATGTCATTGAAGCAGGAGAAAAGGACTGCACCAAGAGAAGCAGCTTCCCCCTCCTTTCCTTTCTTAATTTTGGATATACAGTACTTAATTAACATCCATTCTGTCCTAGTCATTTTGCTGAGTGCTAAGGGTCATGAGTAGAGTACAAAGAAGAATGAAGAAAGGTCAGAGCCGGAGTAGAGAAAGGGCTGTGCAAGCCAGAATCAGACATTATTTTCAGTTCCTACACCTGTCTTTAAATACAATAACATTGGGTATAGGGCTTCAACATTTGACTTATGGGGAACACAACCCATTCCATAACAATGCCCATTGATCAACAGCAATAACATGCAATAGAGAGAAGTTAAAGTCAAATGCCATAGGCATACTAGTTAGTCAGAGGTTAAAATCCAAAGCCTGCCACTTCCCAATTGTGTTAACATTGGTGAGTTTTCTTAACCTTAGTGCTTCCTTCCTTTGTGGATGTAACAAGGATAATAAGTATACTTTCTCCTATGGCTATCATCAAGTATTTAAATCTAATTAGAAGGTAAATTGAAATGAGAAACTATTAGTTGTAGATAAATAGTTTCAAAGATGTTGTTACTCTTCTTTCTATGGTAGGCATAGTATTTTAGGAATTGTGAGTATCAAATGTAAGAGAAAAGACAGGAAATTAAATGCTTACACTATTTTTTCTTAATGAATTTATTTTATATAAATATAGTTGTGAGGCTAGGCCTACACAGAGAAAGATGCTTTAGATTTCAGAAACGTGTAGCTTAATTCATTCTTTTAAACAAATTTTTGCTGAGCATTTATTATGTTTCAGAAATTGTGCCAGGAATTTTGGAGACAGCAATGAGCAGAAATCACTATTCTTGGGGAATTTATATTCTAGAAATGAAATGTCATCTCCACTTCCGGAATTGGGCAAAATAAGGTCCATCAAATAAGGAAAATAAATCAATTAAAATAAATTTACAACATAATACAAGTTGGAATTAAATTGTGATCATGTGGTGAAAAGATAGATAGGCATAATACTAGCTCTGGGGCTGTAGGACTGGCTTCCACAAGTGTCGCACCATCCCTGAAATACAGGTTTGAGACCTTGCCATCCCTCACCATAGCCCAAGCAGACTTTCCGCCCCGCCCTGCCAGGCTGCGAGTGTGGTGCAGGAGGAAGCGCTGGCATTAGGGTCCCTCAGGGCTGCGCTGCCACCTCCAGCCTCTGACATCCTGCTCCAGGTGCACAGCCAGCGTGCATAGGCGCGCGGGTTTTGAAGCCACGCAGCATACCTGGTAGCCAAGAGCAGGCCGGGAGCCCGACCTGCAGGTCCCAGATCCTGCTGTCGTGGTCGCTGGAGTGCGAGTGACTCTGGCTTCAGCTGGTGTCTGCAAGCTCAAATCACCTGTTTGATAGCCTCCCACCAAATCAGAGGGCAGCGCTCGCTGGCCAGGAGCCCCAGGCGTCACCAGCTCCCGCAGATTAGAGCTCGCCTCTCATAGTTCCTCCCTTTATTCCATTTAAAGCTCAAAAAGTTAAGTGTGAGCTCAGTTTCTTCGGTGCTTTCTTCCACTGCAAGATGGTAAGTGAGGAACCGGCGTTTGCTAGTCCTCTGACAAAACCTGGGGCTCTGAAACCTAATAAACTTTGCACTGAGACTTTATTCAATTTTTGGAGCAAGCTTTCTTTGCTGTCTACCAATTAAAATAGATCCTCTCCTGTCTCCTTTTTATTATCATCTGTCTTCTCTCTTTTCCTCCCTTCCTTTCCCACTGCCTTTCTCCCTGTTATTTTTATTCTTCATGTTTCCCCAAAATTTCACCTATTCACCTGCACTTACTATTCATTCTTCCTCTTCTTTCAGATTATGCACATATTTGCAAACACTTGGAGTTGAACTACTGTAAGAGTATTTGGGGTTTGTTTTCTTCTCAAGTGTCAATTGCCTAAAAGTTTAACTCGGATTCCAATAATAACATCAAGGAAGGAGTCTGCAAACATGTTTTTAAAATGAAAACAAGAAAAATTGCTCTTGATAAACTTTTGGCTTAACTTCTTTGGTCTGCACTCCCCAAGCTGCACTTGCTTGTGAACTGTTTTTTTTTTTTTTTCTTTCTTTTCCAAGACTTAACTCACTGGGAACATTAACAAAGTGTGAGTTAATTGACTCATTTTCCCCTCTTCTGTTTATGTTATGACCAAGAAAGTACTCAAGCCAACAAAAGATTCATAGCAAACAGAGTTTATCTAAACCTAGGCTCTGCTGGAATAAATGGCTTTTACCTGATTAAACATTGACAAATAATTAGGAATGGACTGTTGTACAAATTAACCTAGGAAGGCTGCATACTTGTCCTTGTTTGGAGATTTGGAAAGAGTGTATGTTTGAGGTTTGAGAAGTAGCAGGCAGGAAGGTACTCCCTGGCTCAGAACAGTGAGAACACACGTCAGGCAGTTAGTGGTGGCAGGATAATTGCAAGGACATTGAGCCCTAGTGATGAAGAGATCTAGAGCTTGCAGTCTTTGCTTATTTCTTTCAGCTTTTAGATGTTTACTTGAAGTGATGTTATGCTCCTCTGACTGGAGCTAGGGCAAAGTTTATTTAATTACCTACAAGGAACAAAGTTTATTTAATTATCTATAGAACAGAGAGAGAGAGAGAACATATATATACATATGCACTTATGTCTATATGTATGTATATTATACAGGTATGTATATGAAGTAGTCTATTCTTTTTTCAAGGACCTGTGGAAATGTTAGGAAAGTCATAGGAGCCTATTCCTTTTTAGTTATTATAATTAAACCACTCAAAATTTAATCTGGATCTAAATTTAACACCTTCACTGTTTCTTGATTAACTGCATGTAATTTCTGTGTGTTTCTCCTTCTCTTCTCTCCCTCCACATCTCCATCGCCCAATCTTCTGGGACACCCCCCTCCACCCCAACACCTTATACTGAATTTCACAGAACACCATTCTGCCTTGCCAAGACCAGTATTTTGCAGGAGACCAGAGTTATAATTGCCCGTATTCCACTACACTGTCAGAAACTAGTGTTGATGTTTCCACGGAGACTTGGGTCTCTTTCTGGGCTGCTGGTCTCCTGGACAACAGTGAGCCCCAACAAGCACCACAGGCACAGGATAAGTTCTGCTCTTCTGCTTTAATGGTAGACTTGGAGCCTGTTTCAAGCAATGTGGCTGGAAAGCATCATGGTCTGGGACTCTGGAAAAAGGGATGTCATAAAAAATTTAAGTTAGTCCAAAGAGTCTTGAATTTTACAACCTTAACTTCTGCTATTTTGCACTTGCCAAATAGTGAAAATGGGATTCTTCCTCTTTCTTGCTGGACAACACATGCTTCTCCCTCTAATGTATAGTACTTGGAGATTTCCAACTCACTTAAAGAACCTTTCTGGGTCATATTTTATAAACAATATCCTAGTAGAATGTTTTTGGAGTCAAGATACTAGTTACAACATTTCTTTTGAAATTCAGGAAAGTTTCCCAAGTATGATAAAGAAACAAGAATGAATAACTTCATCTTTTATTTCATAGAGGAGATTCAATAGACAATGCCTTGTAAGTAGAAACAATTATTCTCTTACACACACACACACACACACACACACACACACAAGCACTCACATAGGATTTCAAGTGGGAGAGAAGTATAACATTGATGGAAAATTATGAATGGTATTAATCTTGACTTGAAGGTTAGTGAACATTTTTATAAAATTAAATGAATTTCTGTATAAATAGTCAAGTTTCTCTAAAAAGTTTCAGATTAGAAGTAAATACCTATACTATAGTTTGCCATATGCTCCTTTGGTGGACAAAGGGGTTAAGGAAAGGCACACAAAAATGAAAACCTAAAAATGTTGAAGCACACTTACATATCATGGATAAAGTTGTTCAGTTTTACTTTTTCACTATAAGCAACAGCAAAGACAAAATGCCCAAAATCTGAACCCAAACTGTTTACAAAATTGGATTCCTGTTTTCTTACTCACTACTCTATTTTAATAAAAAATACTTCAGTAACAGCAGTTTAAGAAGAACAGGGAAAGAGTCAGAATGGTATTAATGAGACGGAATAAAGTAAAAAAAACAATTAAGCATGCCCAAATGCTTTTGATTAACAGGCATAGCTTCCTGTCAAATATGAAAAAAAATCTTTGTAAAAGCATAAAAAATATACAGATGAAAACAGTTGAAACAGAGAAGGTAGAATTTTGCAATTTTTATCATGGTCTTCAGAGAAACAAGGTGCAAATTATTTAAAAGTAGACATTGCAACTAAATCAAATTCTGAATTCTATCCATTAGATTTAACAGGTAGGCAGACAGAAAAGGAAATAATAGCATCAAAATGTTATTAGATTAGCAAGCCAAACACTATATTATTAATGTTGAAGCTTAGAAAAATAAAATAAAAATTATAAAAAGATAGTGGGATTGCAATATTATGCCTAGTGGAAGGGAAAGGTTAATAAACATTTGAATGAATTAATGATGCAGCTGAGAGAGTCTTTATTAATTTAACCAGCAAGAATATACATACAAAGGGAAGAATGTGACCATTTAGTTTCAAAAAGAAAAACAAATCCCACGTCTTTAACCACTTTGGCATAGGTTGTATAAATATTTGTCTGTCACAGCTTGCATCCTTCTTCTAAAAGCTTTAAATATTTTGTTCTAGTGTGAGGAAGCAACAGCTATTTTTAGAAAGGTAATTGAACCTATTGCACTTTGGGAATGGTTTGGTGAATTCATTGCACATAAGTCAAAAGTGTGTTTTCTATGCTACCCATTTTGTATTTTCTCATAGATTCATCTTCTAATTCAAGTTTTCCTATTCTGGACTCATGTTCCTGGGAAGAAGCTCAGCTTTCCTCACAGCTCTACAGAAATAAACAGGTATGTGTGGATAGTCAGAACATTGAGACTGGCCATGCATCCTGCAGTCCATTCTCCACTTGCATCCTCCCTTAAGTTCATGCTACTACTTTTTCCTCTTAAAATTCACATTAACTCACTTTAGAACTAAAATGAGCATATG